GCATGGATAACGTCGCTACACTATGTGAATCTGCATGAAATAAATACAGCAAGCCTAGCATGCACTCATCAGGTGAGGATTCTGTAGTATCCGTGTATTTCAGAGTGAACGTGACCTCGCTGACCGAATGAAACCTGCTTGCTCCGTCGTTCTCTTTCGCAATGTTTTCATCGCCACAGGTTCGTCTGCTTGTTCTTATATCATTTCGTTTGATATTAAGCTCAGCGGGACCATTTTTTGCAACTTTCAGTGCTGTGTACTCCTTATCAGTCGAGAATTGTTGCAGTTGCTAAGCCTACTTGCTTCGCCTGGGGGCAGCCATGTTGTTTTCATAGGGAGGAACGTGTTTCTCCGTGGCAAAGGGAGCAACGTTTCTCTATTTAAAGACGAACATTGGGGACATCTCCGTTCATCCCTAAATGGAGAGGACGTCACTCCGTTTTTTCAAAAGTGTAACAACGTTTTTTACTCCATTCGGGAGATACTGTTTTGTCAGACTACCGTTCGTAATTGTGTCTGATCCAGATTATGTCCAGTAAAGGATTTCGAAGTCCTATGTGGCCGGCCAAGTGTTGTGAACGTCATTGATTACATTTTGGTGTTTGGTGACACGAAAGGCCAGCACGACGATCGTTTAGCACAAGTTATGTAGCACCTAGCTAGCTAAAACGCAACTGTGAAGAAGGAAAAGTGCCAGTTTGGCGCTAATAAAGTGAAATTTTTTGGCCACATTCCGAATGAGTATGGAATCTGGTTACCCCTATTAACAACCTACACACCCCGAAAATTTCACCAGACTGAGAATTTTGTCATGGCCAATCACCTTGGTGGCTTTTTGCCTCACCTTACGCGAACTACTACTTTTTTTGCACAAAGATAGCTAATGGGTCTGGGGATGTGACCAAACAAAAGCGCAGAACTAGCTGAAAGGGCTTGCTTCTTCTGCGCAGCGTGTGACCGTGTACAATGCAACACTTTTTGCTATCTTTTCAGCGGACGTATCCTCTTATGGACTGGGAGCTTTCCTTTTTCGAACGCAGAAAGATGGCCACCAAAGGCCAATAGCCTTCACGTCTCGGTTCTTCACGAGCGCAGAACGGCAATACACCCCGGTAGAAAAAGAACCCATAGCACCAACGTGGGTAGCTGCAAGATTTCACGAGTACATACGTGGCCGAAACACTACCTTGGAGACTGATTACAAGCCCTTAGTGTACTTACTAGACCGGATAACCTTTACTAGGCCATACGCTACCGCCAATGCTGCGTTTGCTGCTACGCGTAATGCCCTATCTTTTTTCAGTGTCTAGTACGTTCCCGGTAATTCGATAGCCACAGCTGACATTCTTTCCAGGTGTCGACTGGCATGCCGCGATTTTGAAAATTGCTTGAGTATTAAACATGTCACAGCGTACTCGAAAGCGTGTTTCTTGGCTTGAAAACTGGGGACAAAATTTTGTCGGGAGTGAAAGAATGTAAAATGATTGATCCTATTTGTGAACACCTGCGCAGGCTGTGTAATGACATTGGCCAAGGAAACCGAAAAGTCCTTCTTCCCTGGCATCTTACAGGCAAAATAGATTATGTGTTAATATGATGATTGGTCCTTTGCTGAAAAGAAGAACGCCAGCAATCCCACTGTCTCTAAGAACAGACGTGCTGCGCAGGTTGCATGATGGGCATCAGGGTACTGGCTATTGTCGCACTGTGGCTGAATAAAGGAGGTTAACGTTCTGTGTTGGGGCCTAGGTTGAGTGCCGAAGTGGCACAGTTTGTGAACAGTGAACAGCAAGCTGTGGACTGTTCGCGCAGTGCTTGCTCAGCAACGAGCCGAGCCCATCATATTAACCGCAACGCCATCGTTTCCTTGGGAGAGAGTGGGAGTAGGTCTGTGTGTAATCAACGACCAGGCATAATTTGTCGTCGTGCATTATCTATCACAGTACCGTGAGGTGGCCAATATTTCCTCCAGAAAGCCTGGGATGGTCATTTATCGACTGACAGGTGTCTTTGCTAGGCATAAAATCTCTGAGTGTGTGTTGTCCGACAATGGTCCTCTGTTTGTGGTCACCGACTTTGAATAGTTTGCTCTGTCATACGGGTTTTTCAGGTCACCGTGGGTCTGAGGCATCCGCAGGGCAACAAGGAAATAGAGCGAAAAGTACAGATGGTTAAGCAGCTCATTCTGAAGTCTAAAGAATCTTACCTGGCATTGCTGGCTTACAGTGCGACACCAGGCACCTTTCGAGTCGGTCCTGCATAAGCACTTATGGGTAGGTGACTGAGTACAAGACTCTCCATGCTACCACGTCATCGAAATCCGGGAAAAAGTGGCCAGTAATAAGTCGTGGCCCGTGACCAGGAGGCCAGGTGGTGGCAATGTCGCTACTATAACCAACGCCATCGTGCCAGACGGCTTTCCAAAATCGAAGCATGGGGCGTGGTCTGGGTGGCAGACATGCAGTCGAAGGCCACAGGCATCCAATCAGCACCAAAACAGCGGTCATATGTAGTACAAACAGACAATGGTGTTGTCTTTATCCAAATAAGGAAAATGCTTTACCATCTTCCAAAAGAAAGGGTGCAAAGCAAATTTTACGAATTTCCAGAAAACTCAGAGCAGCCAAGCACTGCACAATTGGCTCGACAGCAACAGATGCAGAGGTGCCCCCGGCTCGCGCTGTGGCCAATTGGGAAGCTACTACAATTGATTTGATTGATATATAGGGTTTAACATCCCAAAACCATCATATGACTGTGAGAGGCGTCATAGTGGACGGCTTAGGAAATTTCGACTACCTGGGGCTCCTTAACGAGTACCTAAATCTGAGCACACGGGCCTACAGCCTTTTCGTCTCCATTAAAAATTCAGCCACCGCAACCAGGATTCAATCCCATGGCCAGCGGGTCAGCAGCCCAGTACCTTAGCCACTAGACGACCGTGGCGGGGAAAACCACTCCAATTGTAACGCTGTTTAGTAGACTGGTAAGGAAGCCATTACGGCTGGGCATTTGCGAGTAGTGCTTTGGTGTTTTGCTTTATTTTGTTTTGTATAACAGATATGTTCTCTACCATGTATGTGTGGAGGTTCATGTACTAGAAAAGAAGTTATTTGTGTTGAGTTTTATGGTCCAAAGCAGCAATGGCTATGATGCGCTAGTCAATAGGTGACTTTTCATGAGAAGGTGAAATGTGAGGTGAACAACAGAGTTTAGTTTAGAACTATCGAAAAAAGAAAGAATGGCGTGCTGTGACCACTTGTCTGTGTTTGGCTTGTGACGCCATAAATGATAGCCGGGTGACTACTGTGTGCGACGAGCTATACTTCATGATGTCCTCCAGAATGTATATCATCGACCGGTACAATAAACTGGAGAGGGGGGATTCAATTTCATCACCTATAGCGCAGCTCGTTGACTGTTTATTGCGACACGTATACCCGTCGCACTCGTAAGCAGTGTCACGACATGGTGCTAGAAGTGGGAACTCAGTGCTTATCTTTGCTGAAGTTGATCCGGGTGCCGGAGTGTCGCTTCCGCCGTCTACACTCTGGGATCGCCTACCCACCTAGATAACGCTGACGAGGTGCTACTGGGAACTAGCGGCGTATGTAGAAGTGTCACGTGCAGTGCCACAACATGCACGTCCTATACTTTCATTGTATGTTTGCATTGAAGTTGCAGAAGGCATGAAGGTCACTTTTCTCGCTGTGGTGGCCGTATTTGCGAAAAGAGTGTGCTCAAAGAACTAACACTGTGACAGTTTTTGGTATGCACTTTTTGCGCGTATACTTCTTCGCTCATTTCATGTGCTCTCTTTTATGTTTGAGCAGCACGCTTTCTTTATCAAGCTGTGACAGTTGTTAGTTCACACTCGTTCTGTATATTTTCTTTTCGAGCGTTCTTTCAACTTGCGTACCATGCTGCAAGCTTCGAGCAGCTTGCCGTTCTTCACGTGGCATTACAACTTGTTGCTGCAGCGTTCATTTTTTCACCATTGAGGTGAAACAATTTGGAACGAATGCTTAACTACACCTCTGTGAAGACGGATGCTTGGGCTAGTTAGTGATTGGAAATCAACATATTTGCACAGCGCAAGACTACGAGTAGTTACGACGTAACTACAGAAGAACACACAAGGACGGAAAGAGCGCTCTTTCTGTCCTTGTCTCTTCCGTAGTTACGTCGTAACTACTCGTAGTCGTGCGCTGTGGAAATATGTTGATTCTGTGAAGGCACCTTTAAATTTCGTGCTATACTAATTTTTTACGCCAGAGAGACCCGTCAGTCTGTCTGTCGGTCTTTTTTTTTTTTTCATCAAGAGCTTTCAGAGCACTGTCTTCCAAATATAGTCATTTTCATCAAAATCGAAAGCTATGGCCAAGACATTGTGTTTTAGGGGCGAAGCTCGTTAGGCCGTAGGTCGTTCCCTGCTCCGTATGCACTATGTAGCCACCTTTAGTTTTACTTGCTCAATAAACGGTATTCGGTGTATATGTCTTTGGGAATATTATAAATAGATGGTGTTAGTGCTTTTCACAGCATATCCATGATGTGAGTGACGATAAGTGGGGTGGAGCGTTCGTCCATGAGGGTGTCCATCCGTCCGTCTGTGATTCCGTCCATCCATCCGTCCGTTCGTGCGTCCGCGCTTCTGTCCATCAGTCCATGTCTCCGTTCGTCTATCTTTCTGTGATTCTGTCCATTCATCTGTCTGTCAGTCCGCGCTTATATCCATGCGTTCATCTGTCCGTTCATTCGTTCTTGCTTCTATCCGAGCTACCGTTCGTCCAGTCCTCTGTCCGTCCACCCTTCTGGACGCACGAACTGATGGACAGATACACAGGCGCACGGACGGACGGTTCGCCCCACTCATCAGCAGTCACTCCATGGATATGTTGTGCTTTGTTTATTATTGGGGACACAACACTGGAGAAATAAAATTTACTGCTGGAAAAATGGGAGACTGTGGCACAATTTGTCTGCCACGGACTACTTACTTAGATTCTGCGAGGTTTTTGTCAATCCATCGAAACTGACGGTTGTAGAGTGCCTCGTTCCTGTTCACTGGCTGAGACTCCTCGTCCTCAGGATCCGTGTTTCCGCACAGTAATACCGTGTCCAGCATGAGGATGTCCATAGTTTGATTCGCAGCACCAGGAATCTGATAGGTCTTCTTATAGTAGTATGAGGGGAAGTGCCTGCAGGAGAACATGAAATTAGCAAGACACTTGGAAATTGGTGAGCCTCGTCTAGAATGCTTATCATCAATTTTACTGTGCCCCTTACAGGGCAAAGACCTCTCCCATGTTCCATCAATCAACCCTGTCCTGTGCTTGCTGCTGCCACATAGTTTAGCAGTTTCCCTCGAGAAGAAAATACACAAAAGCTGAAGCTACGGGTAGCAGCAACCTGGAGGCTCAAAGGAAGGTCCACCCAAATTGAGCCATAGGAAGCCCGCAACGGGATGAAAAATGTCACGTGTAATCTTGAAGGGCGCCTTAACTAGCTTCGATATTTTAAGGCGACAGAAATATATTAGTCACCTTCGGCTGATTTTGGCTGTCGGCGTCATCTCTCAGATATGCATATATATGCATATATTTATAAAAGGCATAGACTTCGGTGCACGTTAACAAACTCTAGGTAATCTAAATATCCGGAGTCTGCACTACAGCGTCTCTCATAATCATAGGGCGGTTTTGGGATATGAAGCCCCACATATCAATTGTTCTAAAGGGCACAAAGAAAACAAATCAGAAGAAAAAATGGCAGAGCGCCCAACGAGGATTGGAATCAGTGAATCATCGCTCCTCAGCGCGCTGGATTCAACAACTAGGCCACGCCACTCATACTGCGCATCTGACTAACGGCGAGCTATGTATACACACTACTGACCACTGACTAATTGTGAATGAATTTAAAATAAAAATTCTTGAACAAAGCATGTATTTTGTTGAGACAAGCCATACATGTCTTCCCTAAGGACTGACGTGTCGGATAGTTTGATCAATAGAGTGGTGGATTCACTGCGCGCATGCAGTTGAATGAAAGAGGCATACTAAAAAGCCTCTGGCTTCACTTTTACATTGAAGCAACAGGAAAAACTGCCCGCATCAAGTACAGGTATACTCGCGAAATGGCTAGTCCTGTCGGGCCTGTGAATTTGTATCCCATAGAAATGCGCACCGCCACTTTTATCTAGACAGATGAACTCGACTGGCTGGCCCAGATCAGTTTAATGCTCGCACCGTTGAAACATCTCGTGGCTTTTTCGTCGCAACAGTATACGTATCAACAGGAACCTTGCGTACTGACCTCATGAACTTCTTAGTGCACAGCTTCTGTGTGGTGTGCCTACAAGTTCTTACGGCGAAAGTCACTGCAAACTATAACTTTGTTTACTTCGATATAAAAACCAGCTGCGTGTCGCGTTTCTCGATGCCGATCTTGGTTCACCTTTTGTCACACGTCACCCAATCAACTGTTCACAGTACCACCTGTTTAGATATTATTTATTTTATTTTTATTTATTTAGCACACACTGCCAATTCTTTAAGAGAATATTGAAGGATGGACACAAACTAGAAATATATAAGGAAAAAGACAAAGAAAAAATATTGCGAAATAACATAACTGTTTATCCCTTTTTATGCGCGAATGGCAATGTTAGATAAATATGAAAACTGTGAAATCTGTTTAACACTTACACATCATGTTATATCAATACGATTGCGATTATACCGTCAAAGACACATTAGTACGTAACCTTTATAAAAAAATTAGAAAAAACATACATTATAGCACAGGCAGTGGAATGCGGGTTAGGGGAATAATACTAATAGTAATACAGTTCAGTTCAGTTTCAGTTTATTATCTTAAAGGCCGCCCTTTCTAGGAGGGGCATTACATAAGGGGTGGGGTTTTATTTAGGTTAACAATAAGCAGTAAGAGTTGGTTTAGCATTGAAGATGATCAATAATACGGTCTTGAAAGGCAGATGATGATGCGATTTTGGCGATGTCCCGGGGGAGGCCGTTCCAGTCCGTGGCTGCTCGAAAAAGAACGAGGCACAAAAGCAGTGGTGCGCGAAGATGGGCGGGAAACCTGAAATGATGACTGGTTCGATGAGATATGCGTGCTGCGGCTACTATATAAGGTGGCTGATTGAGGGAAGAATAAAATAATTTGTGATAAAGCATGAGAGTTGCAGTGCGGCGACGCAAAGAAAGGAGTGGCAGTCCAGATTTCGCTTTCAAAGATGAAATACTGATATCGTATGAGTAAGATGAGTGAATGAATCTGGCAGCACGGTTTTGTACCGCTTCTAATGCTTTGATTAAATACGCTTGATGTGGGCTCCATATGGCAGATGCATATTCTAATTTCGGTCTGATTAAAGATTTGTACGCAAGTAATTTTACATGTAGGGGGGCTAGGCGGAGATGGCATTTGAGAAAACCAAGTGCTTTATTAGATGCTGAAACTACATTAGCGATGTGGGTACGCCATGATAAATCATAAGGCAAGGTTATTCCAAGATATTTATAAGATGGTACTGATTCAATTGCGGCGTTAACGATGGAATACTGGAAGCGATATGGGCTGTGGTGACGAGAAAAAGACACAAGTTTACATTTAGAAGGATTAAGGGTCATTAACCATGTGTTACACCAATAAAGCACGTTGTTAAGATTGGTTTGGAGATACAGGTGATAATGCTGGTTACTGATAGTGTTATAAATGGCACAGTCGTCCGCGAACATGCGAATGCTGCAGGATACATGGTCGGGCAAGTCGTTAATATATATTAGGAAAAGAAGGGGACCAAGAACGGATCCTCGGGGAACGCCTGATGTGACTGGGAGAGAGTTAGATAGGTGGCCATTAACAAAGACTGACTGAGAACGGTTGGTGAGAAACTGTTCAATCCAACGAAGAATGTTAGGGTCTAGGTGCAGGTGTGAAAGTTTTAGCAAAAGGCGGCGGTGAGGAACTTTATCGAACGCTTTCGCATAGTCTAGAAAAATTACATCAGTCTGTATGTTACGGTCTAGGTTAGTGTGCAAGTCGTGAAGAAAGAGCGCTAATTGTGTTTCGCAGGAGTGACCTTTATGAAATCCGTGTTGTGAACGATGAAAAAAATTACATGAGCCCAAGAAACTTGCGATTTGAGAGCAAATGACGTGTTCCACGGTTTTACAGGGTACACTAGTTCATGAAATCGGGCGGTAGTTCAAGGGTGAGTCTCTGTTACCTGATTTGTACACTGGAACGACCTTCCCCGTTTTCCAGTCATCTGGAATGATTCCTGAGGCGAGTGACTGTGAAAAAATCAAAGATAAGTAGGCGGCACAAATTGATTTACCATTCTTCAGTAGCTTAGAATTAATTGAGTCCATACCGGCTGAGGATGAAAGCTTCTTGTTATCGATTACGGACGCAATGCCTTCTTCGAAAAATGAGATAGTTGGCATGAATGCTTCGATGTTAACTGATGTTGATTGTGAAGGTGCATCAAGTTCTTGAGTAAAGACATATGCGAATGCGGTGTTAAATATTTCCCCACATTAATGGTCTGTCACTGGTTCATGCGCGTCGTTAGTCAGTGTGATGTCGTGAGTCTGCTTTGGATTTAAAAGTTGCCAAAATTTTCTGGGGTTGCTGGTTAGTAGCTTTGGTAAGTGATCGTGATAAAATGTATGCTTGGCGTTCCGGATCTCAACTAGACATGATTTTTCCACTTCGAAGTATTTATCCCAGTCACTCCGTGTGTCACGGCGTTTGACCAAACGGAAGAGTCCTTTTTTTTATTTTCCAGCCGTTTTAAACGTACAGAAAACCATGGCTTATTGTGATTAGTATGAAAGGTAACCCTCGGAATGAACATATTAGTGAGCACACTTAATTTATTTTTGAATAATGACCAGTTTTAATGTACTGTGCGAGTGCGAAACACTGATTTGTACTCAGAAAAAAAGGTGTAAGGTCTTCAGTTATTGCATCGTCGTTTCCCAGGTCGTAAAGGCATATTGTTTTTGCGGATGTGTACTTTGGAGCAGAACTGAATGAAATAGGGCATGTACGATTTTGTGGTCACTGATTTCTGGGAGATAATTGATAGATGAAAGGTTCTCAGGACTGTTAGTTAGTATTAGGTCTAGGATGTTTGCTGTTTCTTGCGTAACGCGTGTTGGTTCCGAGACTGACTCAGGTTAAAATTTAAACATACGTCAATGAAGTTTTAGCCTCTGCATGACCTAATAATGAGGACATGCCTAGGTTATGCCATTCGATGTTCGGGTAAATGAAGTCACCAAAGAGAAGGATGCGAGCATTTGGTAAGTGGCAACAAGTTGCCTTAGGCTATTGTTTAGGTGCCTACAAAAGTTTTGATTAGTATTCGGTGGCCTATAACAAACTCCAAGAAGTACTGTTAGGGGTAGGAGCGTGACAAATGAGCCATAATGATTCAATGTCGGATGTGACGTGTACAACGGAACATAATATACCTTGGTGAATTGCGACCAGAACACCACCCCCTCGAGTACACTTTCGGTCGCTACGATACGCGCGGAATTCGGGTAAGTGAGTAAGAATTTCAGCGTCCGAAACGTTATCGTTGAGCCAAGTTTCAGTTAGTACCAGTATATTGCTTCCGGATGACAAAACAATGTTCGATAAGAGTTCACGCTTTGGAAGGAAACTGCAGATGTTAATAAATATCACGGAAAATGAGAGTGGTTTGGCAAGAGCCGGGCGTTGTCGGTTTGTAGGTACATGGTGACAGGACGACTGCTATGTGATTTCTTTAACTGTGCTAGACATTTTATCAAAAATAACACGTTTTGGACCGGTGTGCAGTGTTTTATACCGCAAGGAGAACTTAGCAGATTTAGCCTTGGCAAATGCTATTAATTGTTTTTCGCGCGTGTCGAACGGAGAGTGAAAAGTCCTCTCCAATGCTAAAGTTAGTATTTCTTAATTTTCCGGCTATTAGATAAGATCGAGTCCTTTGTTTGTAACCTGCGCATTTTACGATTATGGGACGATTTCTGCCGAACGAATGACGACCAAGAGGATGAGCTCTTTCCAAGTCATGAGGTCCTACGGTTATTCTTAGATTATTATGGCAGAAATTGATAATTATTTTTCGGAATCGTTCCATGTCTCGCCGTCAGTAGGGTCGAGATGCCATAAA